CGGGGCGGCGACGGCGACCGCGTAGCCGCCCAGACCGACCCCCACGCCCAGCTCCCTACTCCAGAAGCAAGGACCCCCCTCGGGAGCGGCCAAGAGGGGGGTGTCCAAGAGGGGGGGGGTGCAAATCATGACCGGCGGCATGTGCGCGGCCCAGCGGGGGGACCTGGGACGTAATGAAATAAGAAGAGGCGCCATGAAATCTGGGGAAATATCATGACCCCCGCCATGATATCCACCCCCCCCTAGTCATCACCCCCCTCTTTTCCGCCCCCGACCCCCCCAAGTGCAGGCACTGCCCGGGGAAGCAGGAGCAGCGGCCCAGACGCGGCAGCACGACGAGGCGCAGACCCCGGAGGAGTGAGCAGGAGCAGGCGTGGAGCGCGGGACGACGAGGGGCGGGGCGAGGGGGAGCCTGGTCTTTTGAATTCACAGAACTGGTTCTTGAATTCAAAAACCTATTTTTTGAATTCAAAAAAACCTGGTTTCTGCATTCAAAAGCTGGCTTATTGAATTCAAAAACTTATTTTTTGAATTCAAAAACGAGGCGGGGCACCGATCGGCGGCGAGTCCGGGGGGGCAGGCTGGAAACCGACCATCCCTGCATGCCCAGTTAGGCCCACGTAAGACGTAAGCCAGCGCAAGAATTCGGCGGCGAGCGAGGGGAGGAGGAGGAAGAGGAGGAGGAGGAGGAGAACGATGAGGAGGACGAAGAGGAGAAGGGGGAGGAGGATGAGGAGGAGGACGACGAGGAGGAAGAGGGGGGGAGAGGCAAGTAGAGAGAAGAGGTGCGCCTTCTCAGAAGGCTTGGCAGCCCCCCAGCCTTCCGAGCAGCTTCTTGCTTGAGCTCCCCCCGGCGGCACATGCAACGAGCTCCTCAGAGGGCGCGCGGGCCTCTGAGGAGTCCCGCCGCCTTCTGAGGAGAACTTTCCCCCCCCCGGGCGCGCCGCCCGGGTGGGCTGGTTTTCCACCACCACCACCAGAAGTAGGAGGGGGAGGGGGTCCTCCTCCTCCTCCTCCTCCTCCTCCTCCTCCTCCTCCTCCTCCTCCTGCTCCTCCTCCTCCAATTCGTCCTCCTCATATCGGTCCAAATTGGTCCCTGGGCCCCTCCCTGGGGTCTATCCGGCGCGCGGCTTCTCACCCCGGAGCAGATCTCCGGGGCCCTGGGGCCCGAGACCGGCCCCCAGAGGCCGCAAACTGCGAGGAACGGCACCGGACCTCGAGGCTCGAGGCTCGAACCGCGCTCGCCGCCGAAGCGGCGCAGGCCGAAGGGAGCACGGCGAGGACGAGGGGGAGCGGCCAGGCACGGGGCAGCGGTGGGCCACACCGAGACAGGGAGTGGCCGGCGCTTCGGCGAGAACGCGTCGTCGTCGTCGGTCGTCGTCGTCGTCGTCGTCGTCGCCGTCGTCGTCGTCGTCGGTCGTCAGTCGTCAGTAGTCGGTCGTCGGTCGTCGGTCGTCGGTCGTCGGTCGTCGGTCGTCGGTCGTCCGTCGTCGGTCGTCGGTCGTCGGTCGTCCGTCGTCCGTCGTCGGTCGTCGGTCGTCCGTCGTCGGTCGTCCGTCGTCGTCGTCGTCGTCGTCGTCGTCGTCGTCGTCGTCGTCGTCGTCGTCGTCGTCGTCGTCGTCGTCGTCGTCGTCGTCGTCGTCGTCGTCGTCGTCGTCGTCGTCGTCGTCGTCGTCGTCGTCGTCGTCGTCGTCGTCGTCGTCGTCGTCGTCGTCGTCGTCGTCGTCGTCGTCGTCGTCGTCGTCCGAGGGGGGCGCAGCCCACCGCGCGGCACGCGGCCCTGGGCCGTGCACGCGCGCCGGCCCTGGCCAGTCCCAGGAGCCCAGGGTCGGGCGTGGCCGAAGGGGCCCCCTGGCGCAAGGTGCCCCCCGGTTGTCGCCCCATTGGGGAGCCTCTGGCCCCCTGGGCCTCGAGAGGGGTGCTCTGGAAGCCCAGGGTCGGACTTGGCCGAAGGCGCCCCCTGGAACAAGGTGCCCCCAGCTTGTCGCCCCATTGGGGAGCCTCTGGCCCCCTGGGCCTCGTGAGGGGTGCTCCGGAAGCCTTGGGGGCCTCGTCGGGCATCCTGGGGGCACCCTGGGCCAGGGGCACCTCTAGCAGCACCCGACAGGATCGGTGCGTAAACACCCATGGGTCGGGAGAAGTGGGAGCTTCGGAAGAACGCACTGGCACAGTGGGGGCGCACATCAAGAAACCACATGCTTTCTGTCAGGGCATCCTGGGTGTCTTCGCTCCGCGCGCTGCGCGGTGACTTCCCGCAGCCGTTGAAGAAGCTGCTGCGTTCAGGGAGGGAGAGAGCAAAGGAGGGAATAGGGAGGAGGAGGAGGAGGAGGAGGAGGAGGTGGAGGAGGAGGAGGAGGAGGAGGAGGGCAGGAGGAGGAGGAGGGGGAGGAGGAGGAGGAGGAGGAGGAGGAGGAGGAGGAGGAGGAGGAGGAGGAGAGGGGGGAGGAGGAGGAGGAGGAGGAGGAGGAGGAGGAGGAGGACGAGGAGGAGGCCTCAAGAGACTACCGAGAAGCCCCCAAGAGGCCCCAAGAGGCCCAAGAAGAGCTCCAAGGGCACTCCAGGCACGACCCCAAAAGGGTGAAACCAATGATTCCCCTTAGGTTGTTTGATATTTTCCGTCATCGTCGTCCCGCTTCAGGGTCGGCGGCACCGTCCGTAAGGCCTTCGCAATAAGATTGAGTTTCCGCCCGCCCCCTAGATAGGAAGGATGATGGAAAACTGCTCGACCCTTGAAGTAGGAAGGCGCCTAAGCAGCAGATTTGACCTGGGAGCTCAAATAATTTAGCTTCGAGCGATCCCCACTAAAACCTTCTGCGTTTGTTCCCGAATATGGTATTGCTTGTTAATGTGGCCAGCCAGAGCTCGGCACACATGTCGCGTTTGAAAAGACGCCGTTACTCGTGCAGTGCTGCTGGAATCTACTCGTTCACGTTATGTTCGGTATGTTATGTTCTCTTCAAATGTGGTTGATTCCTGTGATTGTTATATGTCATGGTATGGCATGCTATGTGATGCTGGGGTAAGTTATGGTCTGTCCAGTCATGAAAAGATACGACACGCTCTGTGCGGGTATGTTCGGCTGTGATATGTTCTGAAATGTTCAGTATGGTATGGTGCGCTCTGTCTTGCCAGGATATTCCTAGTCAAGTACGCTGGACTGGTTTATGTTGTACTGTATCCGTTGCCGTAGTGGTAGCAGTGTAATAACCTTACGCTGCGTTATGTCGTGATGTGGTATATATGATGTTAGCAGAGCTATGTCACAGTATGGTGTGCGATGGTATGGTATGATATGATGTGGCATGTGCTTTGATATGATATCAATTGCCATGCATGTTACGTGGTGGTATGACATGCTGTGTGATGTTGCGTAGGGTGAATAATGGTCAATATACTGTGTTATGGACTGCATGCTAGATCTAGAAAGGTATGGAATAATCGGTCCTGGTATGTTAGATGCGTTGCAGTAGTGGTAGCGAGTATATGATGTATTTGCATGTGTTTATGCTAGCGTATGCTACAACATGCTAGATTCCGCTATGCTCTCATGACATGATGTCGTATGTGATGATGTGGTGTGTCATATGATATGCAATGTGATGATATGATATCGTATGTGATGGCATCTTGTATTTGGTATGACATTGTCATATGCTCTAGTGTGTCATCGTAGATGTGTTACGATACATGTGTGCTGTGTTTGCTGTGTGTTCGTGATGTCGAGTCCTCATGCCTCTTTGCTTATGCGTCGTGACCCCTGGACGGCGTGACGCCGTGACGCCTCCCCCTCGGATCTGTCTGGTATGCAGGGTGTCGTCAGTATTCGAGGACGCGAGGCGGGATACTCAGGGACTCCGGGGATCCTGCGGGGTCTTGCGACCGCGGTATGGTGTCGTCATTTGTCGAGGTCGCGAGGCGAGATAACCGCGCTAAGTCTTGAGAACCCCCCCGCAATAGGTGGTAACTAATTATTTTTGCGGCGACCATATTGAAGGACTGGGGTCCCACCCAATGGTGCCCAACTATATTTTGTTTCCGGGGCACACGCCGCGCAATAACGACGACGACTGCTACGTCTACGACAACCACGACGGAGCGGAGGAGGAGGAGGAGGAGGAGGAGAAGGAGGAGGAGGAGGGGGTGAGGGGGGAGGAGGAGGAAAAGGTTTTAGGACCAGTCCTATTCACCGCCGAGTGAAAAGGGGGGGAATCAAAACTAAAGACCTCCTGAGTTTTTTCCGGGATTCTTGGGATTCTTGGGGGCCTGGCGACCGCGGTGTGCAGGGTGGGCCCACGGGAGCTCTTCTTCTGAAAATCTGACAGCGCCGATCTGCCGGGCGGAGAGAAACAGAACATGCCTTCAGCGAGCGAGGAACAGCGGGGAAAGAGTCCTTCTGCTGCGGCGGACTGCCAGCTGGGCTGCAAGAGGGACGCAGAGGCGGGCCGGAAAGGAAGCGGCCGGGAGCCGAGGAGGCCCCGGAGGTGGCCACAGGGCCAAGCAGCCCCCACAAGCCCAGAAGCCGAGCCCCCGCCCCGACGCCAGCGTCGAGCCGAGCCCAGCAAGGAGTGGCGGGGGAACATGGAAGGGAAGGAGCGAGGGAGGGCAGGGAGCGGGAGGGAAGCAGGAGGAGGGGGATGACGAGGCGCAGGAGCAGCACCAGGATGAGGAGCGGCCGGAGGAGGACGAGTGGAGGGGGGAATGACAGGAACGAGGGGGAGGAGCGGGGAGGGGGAGGAGCGAAAGCAGCAGCAGGCTGGAGCGTGGCACGTGATTTGGAGCAGGGGGACGCCCAGGAGGGCAACTGAACCTTGAGGCTCGCCGCCCGAGCTGTCGAAAGTCGGCTCGGCGGAAGGCCGTCCCGCGGCGTGGCTCGGCTTGGCCGGAGCGATTCTGGTCTACCTAGGTCAAGCACAGGGCGGGCACAAAATCTTGAATCCGAGCGCGCCACCTGTGAAACACGCAAACAACAACAACGAGCACAAAAAACACCATGGATAGCGTCAACCGTAGTCGCCACGGTCTATCGAATAAGCTTTGTGCATGTATTTCTTGATGTCCAAATAAACGCTATCTATCACCTGCACCTCCACTATCATGGAAATCGGCATCGTAAACTCGCCACCCTTCTTCTTGCGCGCGGTGAACCTCCCCAAGACTTTCACGTCCCGGTACCCGCCCGTGGTCTCGTCTGCGCCGGCGTGGTGCGTGTTCTTGATCCGCCAGACGTCGAACCGACCGTGCGCTGAGAGCTTGTTGAGCCTGGGAGGGAGAAGGGGACCCAGGTATCCGACGATCAGAGTTATCTTTTAATCCTGGCGATGCTCCTCGATTTCGGCCTTCGGGGGCCGCTCCCGGGCCCCAGGACCATGAAACACGGATCCGGAACGAAAACCTGACCCCCGAGGAAGCGGTCGAGACTTCTGGAGCCGCGGACTGAAAAATGCAAGGCACCGGATGTCTTGGAGCCAAAAGGTAGCGATCCCGCGACCCCCCAGACCTCGGTGCGTTCTGGCCAGAATTCCGGGACGCATGCAGCCGCGGCGACGAGGGCCTCCCTGGAGGCTCATAAATGGGCGAAAGCGAGGCCAGGGTCAAGAGCGGCATCAGGACAGCAGGCAGGTTCGTGTCGTGCCGCCCCTGGCGCTGATTCTGACACCACGGGGATCGTTCAGCCTTGAACGATCGGCCGTTTCCGAAACGTCAGACGGTGCCTGTTTAGGAGGCTTGGACACGAGCACCAACACCAGCAACGGGAGCTTGCCTCCACCGAGGGAAGGTGGTCCTGGACTTCGGTGTTGGCGGTAACTTCTGGGTCACCTGGGAAGCCCAAATTTTACCACCATCACCGAGATCGGGATCATCTTCCCTCGGTGGAGTCTCACCACCGATGTATCGGTGCTGGTGTCAACCTCTGGGCCTCTGACTTTTCCTCCTCCGAGAGCCGCTGCAGCTGCTCGACGGTGTCGATCATGGCCTCCGCGCCGTTGGCCTCCACAGAGCCGCGCACCGCGTCGCCCAGGGCGAAGTAGGAGCAGCGGAGCCCGGGGTCCTCGGCCGTGGCGAGCTCGTCCGCCAGCCGCGGCTCGTCGCCCAGCAGCTTCGCGAAGATGCGGGCCAGCTTCTTGACCGGCGCCGCCTTGAAGCGCTGCCCGAAGTGCTCCTCTCGAGGAGGACAAAGCGGCATAGACATAAACTTTCGGAGGTCCGCGCGGAGCTTTTGGATCTGCGCTGGGCCCCACTGGCGCGCTCCGCGCGCCAGCGACGGGGGTCCAACGCCGATCCCAGAAAATGCGCGCGGACCTGCGAAAATAAAAGCTTTTGAAGATTTGTCTTACTAGACTCCTTCATGAAGGCGGTGAAGTGCGGGTCGACGATGGCGGCGTACCCGGTCAGGACGTGCGCCGCGACCCTGGCGTAGAGGGCGTTGTCGTTGAGCAGCGCGTGGTCGCGGAGGAAATTCGCCAGCGTGCCGGGGCCTGAGCATCGGCTAACCGATTCGATTCCCCACTGACATAGCCTCGGCCCAACAGACGGGGATGTGTGCTGTTCCCTTCGGCCTATCGGCGTGAGTGGCAGAGCGTTTCATCTTCCCCTCCTCCCTCCCCCCTCCCTCCCTCCCTTCCCTCCTCCCCCTTCCCTCCTCCCTCCCGCCTCCCTCCTCCGCCTCCTCCTCCTCCTCCTCCCTCCTCCCTCTCCCCTCCTCCTCCCTCCTCCTCCTCCTCCCTCCTCCTCCTCCTCCTCCTCCTCGTTCGCGCAGGATCGGGCCAGGAGGCCAGGACTGCGCTAGCCACCCTTCTTTTCTTTCCTCTTCCCTCCTCCTCCTCCTCCTCTCCTCCTCCTCCTCCTCCTCCTCCTCCTTCTCCTCCAACTTGTGGTGGCGGTGGTGGAAAACAGGCCCAACAAGTGCTTTGGGACGATGCCGAGAGCCTGTGACCAGGCCCAGCTTGCGGAGGCAGAGGTGGGCGGCGTCCAGCCGCTCCACGCAGCCCTCGGGCAGGCGCGATCGGCGCCGAGCCGACGCGGCGGGCTCGTGCCGTGTCGGTCCCGGCGCTGGCTTCGGGCACCGAGCGGGATCGTTCAACCTGGAAGAACCATTTCTCTGAGTATCGCTCATCCGATCCCCATCCCCAGCGGCGTGGCCTGGGCCCCGCTGGCCGATGTACCCCCCCAGATGGGAGTACAGGCCGTCCCCTCCGGGTTTCGAGGAGTGTATCCCCAACTGGGGTGGCAAGTTGGTGGGGGTCTCGAAGGGGACGAGGCTGGGGATGGGGGGTCGGCGCATCGGTGCTGCTCCTCCTTCGCCAGATGCTTCCATCGCGGCCGATGCTGCGCCGCTGCGGCGTTCCGCCCTGCACGCCCGCGGCGGGCTCTCGCCGCCGCGCCGGCACGGCACGAGCCTGCCGCGCATCGCGTCGGACGGCAGGAGCGCGTCGGCACGGACCCGGCCTCGAATCGAACCGCCCGCCCGAGGGAGCTCCACCGCGCCACGCGGGCATCGGGGCGCATCGGATCGTCCGGTGGGCCTGTTTTCCACCACCACCACCATGAGTTGGAGGGGGACGGGGTCCTCCTCCTCCTCCTCCTCCTCCTCCTCCCCCTCCTCCTCCTCCTCTCCTCCTCCTCCTCCTCCTCCTCCTCTCCTATTCCTCCTCCTCCTCTCCTCCTCCTCCTCCTCCTCCATCCTCCTCCTCCTCCCTCCTCCTCCTCCCTCCTCCTCCTCCTCCTCCTCCCTCCTCCTCCTCCTCCTCCTCCTCCTCTTCCTCCTCCTCATCCTCCACCTTCCCTCCAATTTATGGTGGTGGTGGTGGAGAACGGGCCCATCATCGTCGGAGCATCGGAACCGAACCGGATCGATGACAACTGAAGTGGATATGGCATCGGACCGATCGGATCGACATGGACCCTGCCTTGGGCAAGTCGACCAGCCAGCCCCAGAGCTCCTCGGGGATCGCGTCGCGCTGGTCTAGCCTACCAGTCGTCTTCTTGTTGTGCCGGTCCCACCGCTCGAAGTAAACGTCGGGCGCCTCTGTGAGCGTCGTCACCTAAATCGGAGCCAGGACGGGGACAGAATCGGACCGGGACAGATCGAGAATCTCTGAGAGCTGAAGGTTCTGGAGCATGCATCTGGCGCCGCGGCCGTTCCAGAGCGCTCCGGAACCCTTCTAGAGCGTTCCAGGACGCTCTGGGACGACTTCTCCCGGTCCTGGCCCCGCCCGATCACCTTCTCCAGCTTCGACTGCCTCTCGTCGAGGGCCTTCTCCAGCTCGCCCAGGACCTGCAGTGCGAGGCGGGAATTTATCCATATCCATCGCCTGGGAACCGACGTCCTGGTGCCCCAGCGGGCGGTGGATACGGATATTTGTTGGACCCCGGGGGCCCGAATATATCCGTATCCACCGCCTGCCGAGGTCCCCGAAAATTGATCCTCTCGGCGGTACCGGACTGAAAAAAAACGCGCCTAGACGGCGCATCGGCAAACAATCGTACTAAATAAGAGGCCACGACAAATATAAAAATATGCAAATTCAGTGCACGCGCGCCAGAACACGGCCACTGAATTGAGCAGTGGTGGGCGGCGGTCGGAAATACATCAGCGCGATACTATGCAAGAGGGGGGACAGGAGGGAGAGGAAGGAGGGAAAAGGAGGACAAGGACAAGGGGAGGAACACAATAAGTACACAGATTTGCAAGACCGTGCAACGGCACCTTCCCAAGATGCGGGAGGGCCTCGAACAGTAGGCTACGCAGGCTATCTGGACAATCTCATGCTGGGCTCAGAGCACACGCATGCATGTAATACGTCCACTCCAGGCGGGGGCGTCCTTGCTGCCGTGATATGTTCCATCTTCTTGGCAAGAAGTTGCGCGCTTGCCCTTCTTCTAAGACCATTTCCCTGGGAAGTGCGCCGGGCCGATCACAAGCCAATTTCCTATTATAAATATGAACAGGTATCACAATATCCCTCCCACCAAGCACTTGACGCAAGCACAAAATAAGACAAATATGATCCATATATTTCCGTGTGCAAAGCAGTCGTGAATAGGTGCGCCCACCCTCCCGCCCAGCTCGTGAGCCATAACAGCCACGGGCGAGGAGGGAAAGATCATTCATTATCACCCTCAATATCACATCCTTGCCTACCTGATTTTCACACAGGACAAAGAAACGTTGCTAAAGAATGCGTGGCCAATTGTGAAACAAGCCTCCAGAATATTCATGAATATGCTTGTCGGCTCAAACGGTCGAAAGCTGCCCGTACACCAAACAAAAAATCAAGATATCAAATCAAATCTTGAACAATAAGTACCACGATATCCAAATCAAATCTTCACCCACAAAGGTCACGATATCCCATCAACTCTTCAGCAACAAAATATCACGATGCCAAATCAAATCTCGGTACAAACATCATCCCTTCACTTGAGAAGGTGCGCGCATAATCTCCTCAACCAACCAGCGTAAACACAAAGTTGAGAGTGACTCGCAGCGCACCTGAGCTAATTTGATGATGCTGTAGGCGATGTAGGTCTTGATACTCGGATCAAGATTGTAACTCCTGCTCTAGTCTGCGCCCAGCTTCAGACAACGGCCGAAGCAATTGGCGTAGCGTTTGTCCTTCCTGTATATTTCTAGGAAGCTACTACCCTCGCACTTGCCATTCTTGATGCGCATCGGTCCCAACGTAGCCAACCACTCCCTCCCTCAGGAGAGCACTATCCCCCAGGTAGATCTGCCCATCCTCTGTGATCTCGTCGGGGTACGTCTACACCTCAGGCTTAGCCTTCAGGCGTAATGTAGCTGTCTTGAGTTTTGCCTGCTTGGGCACCTCCGCCCTGAAAAGTTGTCGCTGCTTGAACTGTCCACCTCCGTCGATGCCACGCCGAAGTCCTCGTCGTCGCTCTGCTTAGGCTGCATTCTGTAGATAAACATGATAATTCCCGCAATGGCAGAGACTAACGCCACGACCGTCGGAGACATCGAAAGGAAAACACCATGCACTGCAGGTGCACTGAATTCAAACAAAACTGCATCTTGGTCAGGTATCAGGATGGATGGTTCGCTGCGCGCCACTCCTTTCCATTGGGTACTTGCCCGTCGCATCTCCCACGTAGAATGCCTCTACACACTCGGTCTCGTCATAATTATCGCCCTTGTCGTCATAGAAGCACTCGTCTACATAGTTGTAAGTCTCCACCGGCCAGGTAGATATCTCATCGTTCCCATCGGCGTCGTCGCACAGCTCCTGCTTGACGTACATAGTCATCTTCGCGCTCAGGTCGTCGACCTCCTTGTTAGCTGCCACCTTCTCTGGTCCAACGAGCCTCCGCCCGCGCATCGCTGGCGCTCTGTCATCGGGGCCAAGAGTCCACAAGTTAGATATCACAGTCTTCCTCGCGTAGCCTCCTGGAAGTATTTTCGTCAAGCAGTGCGCTCGCACCTGCTCGCTCTTGACCCACCTGATGCTGACCTCCTTTAGTGACTGACGTAGTATAGCCGCCTCCAGAGAAAGCCTCCCATCTGTCATAGATACCTTCTCCTTCGTGATCGTGCCATACAGGCTCTTGCAGTCGGTCGCCGAAATGCACGTCACCGGGCAGGTGTCATGCACGATCTCGGCCGCCTCCATCTCTGCGCGCAGGATCTCCGCCAGGGTTACCCTTGTCCAAATCAACGCATCCACCGAATCTGCACAGGAGTATGCCTCCGCCGAAAGAGTAGATCGCACCACCCGTTGAATCTTTGAAGACTGCCACCCAAAGCAGTGTACGTTATACAGGTTGCCGTGGTCCTCATTGATCCTGTAGCATGATGGAGCGTCCTCGCTGCGATCTGGATCCGGCCTGTTGTCGAAAGCACTGTCGGTCACGTTGATCACCATGGTCTTCCACAGTCGCCCCGCTTCTGGATTCCCCCGATAGCTGCATTCCCATCCTGTAGGTCCTTCACCGTCGGAGCTCCCAGCGTCGATGCCAATCGGGATGCCTCGAACGCCTCTTCGAAGCAAATCATTCGCGCAGCCCACTGCAGTTGTCCAACCACCATTCGTAATCCCCGATGCTCCGCAGGGGTCGGCGCACTGTCAGGTGCTGTGCTGCGCTCCCTGGAGACACGCACAGTCTGCATAGACTTCACATAGGTCTCCATGGTGACGTTGATACTGCCGTCCTCGTCCTGGTGATAGGCCCGGCAACAAAACGTCGCATTTTCCTGCCTCGCGTACTTGACCTCGCCAAAGTCAATATCCTTCTGAAGGTCCTTCATGATCTCGGCGCCCTCAGGGTCGCCCTGCTTGATGCCCGTGAGGAGGTCGCCCACGCGTAGACACATGATCCCGATAATCGTGTTTCCTTGTTGCGCTTGGTCAAGGTCGCGGGCTCGAAGCTCAGGCCTTCCCATCCAAGTTCCACGAGCGTCTCGCGCAGCGCCAGGTACCAAGCTCTCGTTGCATCTTCGGCCCCGTAGATGCCCTCGTGAAGTTTCAGCAGGTCGCCTGCCTTAACACCTGGGACGGTGCACTTCCCAAGGGTCGTCGGGACCCGAAAGTCGAGCTCGCGCGCGATCGCCTTGCCTTGAAAAAAAAGCCCCCTTCACATCTGCAACGACTAGGGCCTCCCAGTTGAGGCTCGATACGTTGCTGCACAGAAGTCGGGTCGTCTGCGCTGAGACTGTAGGAAAGTCTCGACGCAGCAAGTCGTCGAACTCCTCCCTATCGCCCCGTCCACATATTCTCGCCTTCGGCTCAAAGGTCGCAGGGTCCTTGTCGGTCCAGACCACCTTGGAGCTCAGGATCTTGTCTGGGTCTATCTTCTCAACTGCTGCTCCTGATACGTGGGTTGCTGCATCGCACTTGCACAAGGTATTCCACTCCTTCCCCACTGCACCCTGCATCTTCTTCCGCTTAAGCTTGTCGTCGCCCAGCGTCGCCAGGCCGATCTCCCGATGCCTGTTAGCCCTGGCCGGCCGGGCACACATCCGCTCGACCACGAATGCTTCAACCAGGAGCGGTGTCTCCGCCAGCCGCTTGACTGGCCCCGTCTGCCCCTTCGCACGCTTGATGCGGATAAGAACATCGCCCAGCAGGAACTCCTCAAGCGTCACGGGATGTTCCTGGCGATTGCTGCCCTGATGCTGATCCGGCTGTCTTGTACTCGATATTGTCGCCCCTTCCTGATGTTCCCTTGCTGGCGTCGGCACTGCTGCCGTCTCCTCTGCCTCATTGCGTTCCTCCATATGCCTCTGGGCACTGGCGGGTACTTGGAACTGAGCTCAGTCGTCGTGAGCATCGTCCGTCTTGGTCCGCTTGAGCTCCAGGTCCTTCTTGACCGAATGCTTCTTACCACCACGCTTCACCACCATGGGCTGCTCCGGCCCCTCCATGATCTCGCCAGTGTCGCCGCCACTTGGAGGTCCAGGCTGTGAAGCTGCAGGTCGTTGGTCACCTCCCGTTCCATCTTCAGTTCCTTCTTCCTTCATCGACGCGAGCTCCTGGATGACCGCGGCTGGTTGCTGTGCCACCACATCGTCGATGACAGTCCACCCTCGAGATGTCCTGCACCAGGTCGCGCGTCCAGATGGAACAGCCGCCTCCTCTCGATCTGATACCCTGGTGCCACTTCGGGCAGTAGAGGTGAATTCCTGATGTTGTCCAGCTGCCTCAGGTCTATATTGCCCTTGCTGCTGGATGCCACTGCTCCTAGGATAGTGCCCCAGGCTTGGTGTCCTCGACGTAGTCGCGCTCGAAAATATTCCTCTGCTTTGTCTTGATCAACTGGTACTGCGTCGCACTCATCGTCCAGCCTCTGCCGCATCGGCATCACGTCATTGTCGTGACCCACATCCGATCGTCTCTTTCTGCTGTCTGACTGCTTCGGGTAACCCACGCAACCTGGAAGCTAGCGCTGCTCCTGGCGTGTCCGATTGCCCCTGCACTGGCTGCTGCTGCGGAGCTTCTTGCTGCCCAAGTAACTGCCGATGCTATTACTGCTGCCGTTCTGGAGGCTGCTGATCTTGATGTTGATCTGGCCGTTGAGCTGGATTATATGGTTCTCCTCGAAAAACTAGAAAGCCTCTCTGTCCAGCTCGCGATCGGGCTGGCCCGCCGTCCGAGAACAAGTCGGTGAACTGCATGGTCGCCACCTCGTGCTCAGTCGCTTTCCGTAGTAGACTGGGCGAGCTCAGAATCGGGATCCGACTGTGAATCCGCCGGTAGCCATGCCCGTCCTTGCCCAGGCACCGGGCGGGCCCATGCCATCGGGAATGTAGGTTTCTCTGAA